CATCTGTTTTCAATTCGTTTGAGTATGTACCAACGAGTGGAATTGCTGGGTTATGTGGTAATTCTATGTTTAACTTATTGGAGAACTGCCAGGCTGTTTTCCACAGTGGCTGCGCCATTTTACTTTCCCACCAGCAATGCACAAGAGTTCCAATTTCTCCACGTGCTCGCCAATACTTGTTATTTTGTTTTTTTTGATTATAGCTATCCTAGTGGGTTTGAAGTGGCATCTCATTGTGGTTTTAATTTGCATTTCTCATGCTTGTTGGCCATTCATAGATCTTCTTTGGAAAAAACGTCTATTCAAGTCCTTTGCTCATTTTTTAATTGGGTTGTTATGTGCATTATTTATGATTCATTCATTTGGTCATTCAATTGAGCACTCTTACATTCCAGGCCCTGTGAGGCTCTAAATAAAAACAGTGAACACATTAGTTGCCAAAAATGAATTCAAGAGAATTCTTAAAATAATTAAAAAGTCCTTTGTTTCTTGACTTCTCTTATGAAATCAGATGTGGCAGCAGATCTGGGTCTGAATTCTCACACGTGCCAAGTCAGCGAGGGCACCTTTAGGTGAGGCTCTGCTTTGTCTCCTGGTCCCTCACAACTCCCACCTGGCTAGTTTACTTAGCTTCAGTCCCACCTGGAGCCTTGCTCCAACCTGGAGCCCTGCATTTTACGATGCCCAATCCAAATAGCTGACAGCTTTACTCAGTATTTACTTTAATTCTTTGAATTAGGAGCAACTGGGACTGCTCGTGCTCCTCCAACTCTTTAAGCTTCCCACCCACATTTAAACAAACAAACAGAAAACTTTTCCTCAAACCAAATCTCTTTCTTGCTTTTTCAGGTTTAAAGGACATATTTGCCACTTTAAGAATAGAAAAAGAAGTGGCCGTCCTTTTTGCCCATAGCTTTTGGGGTGTGTTCACGGAAAGAGGGAGGTAAAATCAGTTGTTTGTGCTTGGGCTTTGGAAATGATGGGCGGTTCTTTAGTTTATGAGCAAATTGCATTGATTGGAGTTTCTAGAAATCTTAAGGCCTTTAGAGGAGCCACTTGTTTTCACCTCAACCCTGCCTTACCCTAGTCCCAGTTTCTTGGGTTCAGTTAGTAAACAATTGTGAGAAAAATAAAATTGAGATTAGACAATCGCTGGTGATCAGATAGGGGATAAATCCATAGCCCAAACAGAATTACCCATCCCACCCCTTTCTCACCAGATCCTGGTGGGGTATAGGCAGGCATGGTGGAACGTTGCCCTAGTTACACTGGATTCTCCACTTCGGGCTCAGCTATTTACCAGCCAGGCAGTCCTCTTGGTCTCCTTGCACTTCAGTTTCCTTACCTGTAGAATGAGAGTTCATAATTCCCACCTGTATTTTTTAGGATTAGCTTAGTGTATATCAGAGAAACCCACTCTCACTGTGGTTTAAAGGAGATGGGAGGGGCTGGCCCCGTGGCGCAGCAGTAAAGTGCGTGCGCTCCGCTGCTGGCGGCCCGGGTTGGGATCCCGGGCACGCACCGATGCACTACTTGTCAGCCCATGCTGTGGCGGCGTCCCACATAAAGAGGAGGAAGATGGGCACGGATGTTAGCCCAGGGCCAGTCTTCCTCAGCAAAAAGAAGAGGATTGGCATGGATGTTAGCTCAGGGCTGATCTTCCTCACAAAAAAAAAAAAAAAAAGGGAGATGGGAGTTTCTTTTTCTGGGAGACAGCCAGTCCATGGCTGGCATGGTACATCTTGCTGCCAGGCTCCAGGCCCCTCTGTCTTGTTGCTCTGCGGTGCCCAAGCTCACCATGTGGCCCAAGATGGCTGCCATTCTTTTCCTGTCGCAGGCAGCATTCCAGCCAGCAGGGAGGAGGAAAAAGATGCCCTTTCCCCTTAAGGATTCTCCTCAGAAGTTGCACACAGTACCTCCCCTTAAATCCCATCTGCCAGAACTTCACCTTTGGGCCAGACCACCTGCTGGGAAGCTTGGAAATGTGGCCAGCTAAACATCTGAGGATGTGTTATTAAGGAAGAAGGGGGGCAGGCCCAGTGGCATAGCAGTTAAATTCGTGCTCTCCAGTTTGGTGGCCCGGGGTTCGTGGGTTCTGATCACAGGCATGGACCTACACACTGCTTGTCAAGCCATGCTGTGGTGGCATCCCACATACAAAATAGAGGAAGACTGGCACAGATGTTAGCTCAGCGACAATCTTCCTCAAGCAAAAAGAGGAAGATTGGCAACAGATGTTGGTTCAGGGCCACTCTTCCTCACCAAAAAAAAAAAAAAAAAAGGAAGAAGGGCGTTTGGGGCTCTCTGTCACAGCACCTATAAGAGCTGCTGTGAAGATAAAGCAGATAACACATGTGACCATCGGACTGGATTTTTTTTTTTTTGGCACGTCAATCAATCTGTTGATTTGCCAACTAGACTTTCCAAGAGGCCACTGTCCAGTCTGAAAACCATGGTGAGTCAGCAGAAAATCAGGTTCCAAACCAAATAGGACTCCAGGTCATTGTGAGAATAGGAGGATGTCTGTTGTGAGGCAGAACCACCCACCTTTAATGCTTTGTTGACAACAAAACCATTAAACTGGCTGAGATTTGCACTTTGCTGCCTCCTAATCCAGATGCTGGGCTGTGGGAGGTGGCCCTCCAGGCCTTTAAGGGCCCTGGTCATCCACTGCATGTGGACAATGTAGGTAGAGTTAGGATTCACCGGTAAGTAACAGAAACCCAACTCAAACTGGCTTTCATTAATTAGGTAAATTTTAGACCCCACATATAAGTGAGATCACGCAATATTTGTCTTTCTGTGCCTGGCTTATTTCACTTAGCATAATGTCCTTCAGGCTCATCTTGTTGCAAATGGAGTTTGGCTATTTTTTTTTTCCCCAAACTGGTTTAAATTTAAAGAGAGAACTTATTGGCTTTTGACAGTGAAAAGTCCAGAGGTAGGTAGACTTACTATGTGGCTGGGTCTAGGGATTCAACAACCTCAAGACTAAGTCTGTCATGTGTCTTCCTGTCTCTGTCTCTCTGTCTCTGTCTCTCCCTACTGTCCTCTGTGCTGGCTTTCTTCTCCACATGCTTTTGCTCTTGCAACTATCCCTTTCGCAAACCCAAAGAAAAGAGCGTATCGTTTCCCAGTGGGCAAAAATGGATCCCTCTACAGTATGTCTGCGAGGTAGGGATTTGGGGTACACCTCTCTTGAGGGGTGTCACGATGACCACCAGGAACTACCTCAGCAGTTCCTTAGGTTTGTCAACCTACAGATACCAGGGAGTGGGGGCTCACAGGACCTTAGAGCCCTGCGATTCTTGGCTGGTTTCTGGCCCGGCACACTTGCAGGAACCACCTGGCTTAGGTGGCTCACTACAACCCTTTGAGAAGACTGCCCAGGTAATTTAGATAACATCCGCTTGAGAACCACCACTGATCCAGTCCCCAGTCTTTATAGGTGGGGCAGCTGAGGCCTAGAGAGGAGAAATCTTGTGTCTTAATTTGGATTTCCCCCAGAACAAGGTGGTTCCTTGCAGATGGTCGGTGCAGATGGTTTATTTGTGATCGTAAGAAGGGGGAATGGGGAGTGGGGAGAGGAGACAGGAAGAGAAGCCAATAGAGGATGTGTTGTTGAAGTCATCGCCCAGGCAACCAGGTTTTACCCAACAGGACCTCTGAGAAGGTACAGATGCCTCTCAGAACTGTCCAGCTGAAGAAGGGGAGACTTGAGGAAGTTCCTGAGCAGACAGACCCCAGAACTGTCCCAGCAGCTGAAACCAGGGATGTGCTGAGGAGACGTGACACGGGACACCAAAGGAGTCTTTGACAGTCACCCACCCAGGCTGCAGCACACCTGGGATGAGACCTCAGACCCCCAGCCCCAGCCTAGTGCTCGCTCCTCACCACAGAGCTTCAGCAGTCCCCACTGTGTGACTCATTGCCCTCCCAGGCTCCCGCTCTGCAGTCCAAGTCAGAGCAGCCTCCCCAGCAGCCTGCATCCTCACTCACCCTCCCGTGAGATGGCAATGGCCTCCTCTCCCATTTACAGGAGAACACAGTTTTTCTCCCTCGTGCCTTGCTCTTCCCAGAAATTCTCCCCCACAAGCCATAAGCAGTCAATCAACAAAAGACAGATGTGGTCTTTTTAGCACAGGTAGCTGCAGAATTGAATCAGGACTGGCTCTCAGGCCCACACCACCCAGTGGTGGCCTGGAAGTCCTGGAACCTGGAGCATGCCCTCTGATGGGAACAGGGCCTGAGACCTGTTACAGGCTCTCACCCAGGGTGGGCCAGTGAGCACACGCAGGCCTAAGCTTGTGATACTTGGACTTCTGGGTGCCTGTTCTTGTTTTTGTTTTTTTAGCGATTAATAGACTGTTTTTTTTAGTACAGTTTTAGAGTTAACAGAATAACTGAGCAGACAGTACATAGAGTTCCATATACCCACCCCACCCCAGGCACAGTTTCCCTTATTATTAACATCTTGCAATAGTGTGATACATGTTACAAATTGGTGAACGAGTACTGATACATTATTATTGACTATGGTCCCCAGTTTACATTAAGGTTTAGTCCTTGTGTTGGACTATTCTGTGGGTTTTGACAAATACCCAGAGGCCTGTTCATCAGGAGGGAGCAGTGTCTAGGATGACGCCGTTCCTAGCCCTCCTAGGCCACCTCTCTGTTGAGTCATAGCAGTGTGATTTACCTCAGTTTCCCTTTCCAGGCTCCAGGCTGCTAGCACGGAGTGGAAACTGGGGCGTAGGTTGGGAAAAGAACCTTCTCTCTGATTAAGGACAGGAAGTCAGCCTCAGGGTTTGGATCTCCCAAGGGTGAAGCAGCCCCTAAGTTAAAGGACCATGGTTCCTGGGGATGGGGTGGGGTCGGACTGTTTCGGGAGTGGTCCCTAACACATTGTAAGCAGCCTACCTCCCAGCTGGGTGTGCCAGGGCCTTGGTGCCAGGGAGGCCTGGCCTGGTGCAGTCAACCCCATGCCCCTCTCCCTACAGTTCTGTAGAGGCGGATCACACCGCCCCCCTGCCCATTGGAGGCTGCAGCTACATCCAGGGCGGTTCCAGATTGCATCTTATCAATGAGACCGTAGGGCGGTGCCTGGATGCCACAGCACAGAAGTTCCCGGACCGAGAGGCCTTGGTCGTCCTCCATGACAACGTCCGGATGACCTTTGCCCAGCTCAAGGAGGAGGTGGGTCCTGATCTTGAATCCTCAAAGTGGGCAGTTGCCAGCTCCCAGGCTGCCCTGGCTGGGTGGAGCCATGAGAGCGGCACCTGGCTGTGGGGCAGGGTGCTGGGGCTGCCTGAGAACCCCAGGGATGTCAGGAGAAGGGGACAGGGTTGAGGCAGAGATGGCCTGGATGCTTCCTGCATCAGTTGCTCCTAGGGCACTTGTTAACTATGCAGATTCCCAGGCCTCGCTCCAGATCCCCTGAGGCCTGGGAATCTGCCTGTCCCTTGCTCCCAGGTGGTTCAGATGTGAATGAACCCCTGGGCCAAGGGCTGAGGTGGGAATCATGGGCCCTTTCCTGCTTGCCTGCATCTCATCCATTTGTGCCCCGTCGGTTTACACCAGGTGGACAAAGCTGCTTCTGGGCTCCTGAATATCGGCCTCTGCAAGGGTGACCGGCTGGGCATGTGGGGACCCAACTCCTACGCATGGGTGCTCATGCAGCTGGCTTCTGCCCAGGCGGGCATCATTCTGGTGAGGAGGGGCTTGCCTGGCACAGCTGGGTATGTGGAGGGGACATCATTCAGGGGGAGCTCCCAGCCCCTTGGCCCTGGAACCAAACCAGGGCCTGGCTGGTTTCAGACCAGGTAGTGTTTTCCCCTGAAGCCCACCAAGGAGGCCCAGAGTTGGAGGGCACTGCCTCTGTCTACACCGTGTTTATGTGCCTCCTGAGGGTGGAGGGGCAGTGAGAGGAACAGAGTCTGCCCAGGACACTGACATACCCTTGCTGTCTCCACCAGGTGTCTGTGAACCCAGCCTACCAGTCTACGGAGCTGGAGTATGCCCTCAAGAAGGTAGGACTCACTCCTGGGGGAGGGGCCCAACTGGTGCCGGGCTCAGGGGGTGTCTGATTGTCACTGAGGTCTGACAGTGGGGAGGGCATGCACAGGTGGGCGACCCCCAGAGTCTATACCTTCCTCAGGCTGTGGGTGGGTGGAAGGAGAGAGTAGTTGGGCAGTCACAAGGCTTGTGTGTGTATTGGGGGTGGCATGTGTGTGTGTGTGTGTCCTGGGGGTGGGGCATGTGAGTGAGTTGGTGTGTGTATGTTAGAGGGTAGTGCATGTGTGTGTCAGGGCAGTGGTGCATGTGTGTGAGAGAGAGCAACTGTTAGTGTGGACTCCACCAGATCCCCAGTCTGGGGCTTCCTGCTGACTGAGGGCAGGGGGGGGCTCCCCTTCCACAGGTGGGCTGCAAAGCCCTTGTGTTTCCCAAGCAATTCAAGACCCAGCAATACTACGATATCCTGAAGCAGATCTGTCCAGAGTTGGAGAAGGCCGAGCCAGGGGCCTTGAAGAGTCAGAGGTGGGGGTGTCCTGGGTTGGGAAGGGTGCATCGTGCAGCATCCTGGCCCCCTCATCTCCTACCCACCCCCAGGGATGAGGCTGGTGTCTCCCTGAGCCTTCCCTCAGCCCCTGACTCTCCCCATCCCCCCTACCACCAGGCTTCCAGATCTAACCACAGTCATCTCGGTGGATGCCTCTCTGCCAGGGACCCTGCTCCTGGATGAGGTGGTGGCAGCTGGCAGCACAGAGCAGCATCTGGCCCAGCTCCGGCACTCCCAGCAGTTCCTGTCCTGCCATGACCCCATCAATATCCAGTTCACCTCGGTAGGGCAGAGGTCTCTAGGCCCCAAGCCCAGGCTGGCATGCTAACCCTGCCTGCCTCTGTGACCCTTCCCTGAGCAGAGGAGGTCAGGCGTGCAGACACTCTTCTCCCGGGGCCAGCCCTAGTTGTCCTCTCTGCCCTAGAAAACATCAGCAACTGGTGTCCTTGTCACATGCCCCCCTCCCCTGGCCCTCTCGTCTCCAGCACAGGAGCAGATGCACTATGCCTCCACAGGTCAGAGCTGGTAGAACCTGCCCCTCATTTAGCAGATGGGGAAACTAAAACCCAGACAGGGAATCTTCTGGTGGGCCACAGAGTTCTCTGAGCCACTTTATGAGTGGTGTGAGGACAGAGGCCTTATCCTCCACATTTCTGGATCCTAACACTTGGCACTGTGTAGGCATGTGGTAAACCTTTGTGAATATGTATTGCCTGAATGAATGGATCTGGGGCAACAGTCCCAGTCTCCTGCCTCCCAGGCTAGTGCTCTTCCGTGCAGTGGCCCAGGGTAGGAAGGAGATGGGGAGAAAGAGGCCAAGCATCACCTGCTTGTCTTATCAGGGGACGACAGGCAGACCCAAGGGTGCCACCCTCTCCCACTACAACATTGTCAACAATGCCAACATGATAGGGGCACGCCTCAGACTGCAGCTGAAGGTGAGGGGGTGATGGCCAGGACCAAGGCTTACTGGCACCCTGCAGGGGTCGGGGGCTTACTGGGCTTCCCCTGCTGGCTGGAGGAACTGGCTTCCGGGGCTTCTGGCTCCAGGATAGAACCAGATTCCTGCCTCCATCTCCAGGAACCGAAGAAGTTGCGGATGGTCCTGCCCACCCCCCTGTACCACTGCCTGGGTTCTGTGGGGGGCACAATGGTGAGCGTGATATATGGTGTCACCCTCATCCTGCCCTCTCCAGGCTTTGATGGCAAGAAGGCGCTGGAGGCAATCAGCAGAGAGAGGTGGGCGTCAGTAGGCAGCCACCCGTGGGCTGCTGAGACCCTCCCATTCCTCACTCATGGACCCTCATCCCTGTCCAAGATCTGTCCTCCCTCCAGCCAGGAGAAATGGAGACAGGGGTAGTGGGGGACCCCCAGGAGAGGACCAGTTCCTGCCTCCAAAGAGCCTCTCCTGCCTGTTCCCCCCAGTTACAGCCTTGGCCCTGAGTGCAGCTTCAGGCTGGGGTGGGGGAGAAGAAGGAGTTCCCTTCCACTTCCAAGCCTGATTTTGAGATGTGCCCCCCCGCCCCCATACAGAAGCTCCTTCCTGTATGGCACTCCCACAATGTTCGTGGACATTCTGAACCAGCCAGACTTCTCCAGTTACGACATCTCGACCATGTGTGGAGGTGGGATGGGGCCAAGGGTGGCCAGGCCAGGATTGGCCCTCGTGAGCTAGATATGCACCCAATCTTTTAGTCAGGGGACAAAAAGGTCACTGTAGAAACATGGGTGGGAGGGAGGCAAATCCCCAGTGTCCCTGGACTCCAGCCCATGGCCAGCTGCCAGGTGTAGAAACAGGTCCCGGGTCAGGGGAGAGAAGGGAATGTTCTTCCCTAGAAAGAGCTGTAAGTGAAGGGGGGCCAGTGGGCCTGGAGAAGGGGGGAGCTGTGTCAGCTCTCTCTCTGCTTCAGGTGTGATCGCTGGGTCCCCTGCACCCCCAGAGCTGATCCGAGCTATCATCAACAAGCTGAACATGAAGGAGCTGGTGGTGAGTGGAGGCCGGGGCTTGGGGCTGTGGACGGGGGGCAGGCCAGGCCTGGGGTGAGGACAGGCTAACTGGAGTGGGGATGAGCCCAGGCAAGATCTCCAAGGAAGACCCTCTTAGCCGGCCCTCATTCCAGAAAGCAGATGTGAGAAAATGCAGTCTGACCTCTTCAGCAGCTGGCGAGTCATGGAGATAGGGGACAAGGGAGTAAATATTATACATACATAAATTTATATTTATAGACATCTGGGGAAGAAACGCAGCATGGGAGGCTATGCAGCAAAGCACTGGTGTGCTGCTAGAGTGTCCTGGCAGGTGGGGGCTGGTGGAGTTGGGGTATGAGCTTAAGACCCTTTCTGGAAGCAAAGGGTGGGGCAAGGATCTGATGTTTGTTTCCAAATAGCGGGGAAAGGGGGGCAGAGGGAAGGAGGATTCTGGAGGGGTGGCCATCCTGATGACCACTCTGTTCTGGTTCTGAAGGACTTGGGGGTCTCAGCAACAGCTTCTCTAAGAGGAGCCATGACGGTGGGGCCAGGTGTGATGGAGCTCTCACCATCAGGTGGAGCTGAGTTCATGCTGGAGTGCCGGAGTCCCCCTGCCAGGACATGCGTAGGTGTGGACAGCTCTGTGCATCAGCAGAGGCTGTGGGGAGGAGGTGTGGGTCAGAGGTGGGAGGGTCAGTAGTTTCTCCAGCAGAAGGCAGAGGCCAGTCACCAGGACTGGCTGGATCAGGACCTGCGGTGAGGCAAGGATCGGTGTCAGGACTTCAGCAACTCAGATGATCGGTGTCAGGACTTCAACAATCCAGCAATGCTTGGAGAGAATGGTGGGAGTCCTGGGCAGTATCATTTTCTCCCTCAGAGGGAAGTCCCAGTCCTCCCCTCCTCTCCCTGCAAAAATGGAGGGTCTACATGCCCCTCTGTGGGGAGGGAGTATCCTGGGACACCCTCCTAACTTGCCAGAATCTCCAGAGGGGAATGGGGGACCTGTCCACCCAGCCCCCACCTGTTTAATGGCGGCCGGCTTTCTTGGACCTCTTAGTGGGGAACTTGCAGCCGCGGAAGGCGTCCGTGTCACGAATGTGCTGGCCCCTGAACTTGGCGGGCGAGGCGCAAGTGGCATCAGGGCGGGAAGTCTTAGCTTCCAGCCACCTGTAGAGACAGAGAGTTGCTGGGGTTGGGGAAGAGACGTGGGAGCGCTGGGGGATGGGACAGTGAGCCCTGGGCCAGGATCAATGTGGCTCCAGAATAGTCTGGAACCGACATCTTCATTTTACAAATGGGGAAGCTCCCAGGACACACCCGTTAGGTAGCAGATCTAGGACATATGCCCATGATATCTTAGCGCAGGACTAGTGTGTCTCCACTCCATCACATAAGGATGGATTCTAGGGGTGGCATGGGGATGCTCTCACCTCCGGAGGCTCCGAAGCTGGCAAGTACACTTCCAGGGGTTGTTGGTGAGGGTGAGGGTCTCCAGGCTGTCAAAGGGGAAGTTGGAGGGCAGCTGGTTCAGGCGGTTGTTCTCCAGATGGACGTGTTTCAGTGTGGTCACACCCAGGAAGGCACCGTCGGAGAACTGGGGAGCAAGGTGGACATGACTGAGCACCCCAGCCTCTCCCGGCTCTATGGCTCAAGAGGGGCAGAGTCCTTCCCTGGACATAAGCAGTGGCACTTTGAGGAGTTCCACAGTGTGACTAAGTTGTCTCAGATGATCTAATCCATACAACCACCTTTTGAGACAGGTGGTGTTATTTCCAAAATGCAGACGGGAAAAAAAGTTAAGTCCATTTCCCAGGGTCACACTAGCAAGTAAACAGTAGCTGCAGGGACACACCCAGCTCCTCTTCCCCTGGCACCATGCTCCCTGCACAAACACTGGGACTGAAGTGGCAGCCAGGGTTTGGCCCCAACGACCCAAGCTGGCACACAGTGAAGTTGGTCAGTGTTTGGTGGGATGGGCAGTGGGCCCAGGCTCCCCACAGACCCTCGGTCCTGGGACTTCCCCCAGCTCTGTCCTCACTGCTCCCTCACTGCCTGCCAGACACTATTTGTGGAGCCTCCTTGGTGGAGCCTTTGGCCAGGTTGCGTGGCTACAGAGGAAATGTTCTATTGGTGCCCACCTCTTGGCCCAAGTGTCACAGTTCCTGCCTGGCCTCCCTGCCCCAGATCAGCCCGTGCTTCCCAATGAAGAGCCACACTGGCACTGGTGGGCCACAAGGGACTCTGACTTCAGCTGAGGAGGGGCCAGGGCTGAAGAAGGGCAGGCTCAGGTGGGCTCCATCCACCCAGACAAAGGTTGGCGGCCATCCAGGTATGATTCTGCCTTCATCTCCATGCCTGTGGCTCAGGGAGGGGTGTGAAGTTCTCTGGTAACCGGACTGTTCTGATGACCTGGCTCCTCCACCTTGCCCTGGTCCCCGCCCAAACCTCCTGGCTGAAGCCCCTGTACCAGAGAGATTTTCCAGTCCCAAGAAGGGATTCTGCCCTGACTCAAGGCAGCCCCACCTGGCCAGGTGCTGGGCATCACAGGGGAGGAAGGACTGAGCAAGGATGCAGCCAAGAGATGGGTCCGGCGACTGGGGTGGGCAAAGGGCAGTCAGTGGTCTGGAGCACAGTGAGGCACAGCCAGTCTTCCCTGTGGGGAGATATCTGGAGTCCTGTGCCAAAGATTGCCAATGGTGCATGGCTCTTTGCCCCTTCACAGAGCCCATGGGTGCCATGCCTGCAACCTGGGGGAGCCCCTGGTCCCTGGTCCCCACTCAGTTGAAATGGACCTGATAATGCAGTGGAGTGTGAGTGTGTGTGTGTGTATGTGGACTTGCCGGGGGGGGGGGGGGGGCATCCACCAGGGCCTCTGGGGGGTGTGGAGGAGGTCTTCCTTAGGTATTTGCTCCCCCCTCACTCCCAGCCCCCCACCCCACCTTAGCACACATGCACACCCCCACCAGGAACAGGGTCTCTTTGTGGGCCTGATTCACCCAGCTCCTCTGGAAGGCTCCTCAATAAACAAACCTTCCTTTATGGAGTGGTAGGTTGACTGGAGACAGGAAAAACACAGCAGAGGAGGGGCGGAAGGCCCAACAGGAAGAGGCGGCTGCTGCCCACAGCGGGGGGGTTTGGGAGCACCGGAGATGCCTCCTAGGGGCCATTGGTGGGTCCAGGGCAGCCCCAGCTCGGTTTATAAGTAGGAATCCTAGGAAGGCAGTGGCTGAGACAAGGGACAGGGGCAGCAGGGCAGGACTTAGGGTGGGGATGTGATATGAGGGACAGAGGTGGCAGAACTCACCCTGGAGACAGCCAGAGAGAGAAAGGCAATTTTAGGGGAGAGGGGATGGTGCTCCGCTGTGGCCCTGGATGCCTGGGCCTCCAGGCAGAGAAGAAGGAGCCAGAGCAGAGCTCTGCAGCCAGGAACTCACCTTCTCCAGGTTGGTGTTGTCCAGCCAGAGGGTCTCCAGGTATCTGCCGAAAGACTGGAAGGCATTGTCGGGAATGCTTTTCAGGGGGTTATGGGACAGCTTCAACTCCTCCACCACCCGCAGCTTGCTCAGAGCGGCCGAGGGGTAGCTGGACAGCTGGTTCCTGTCCAGGTGGAACTTGGCAAGGTTCTCCACGTCGTCCAGAGCGCCAGGCTGCAGGGAACTGAGTGCGTTTTCAGACAGGTAGAGCCAGCGCAGGTCCTTGGCGCCCTGGAAGGCGCCTGCGCGCAGCTCGCGGATCTTGTTGTTGTTGAGCTGCAGGATGAAGAGGTTGACCAGCGGGGAGAGCAGCCCCCGGGGCAGCTCGGTCACCTTGTTGTGGTCCAGGTAGAGGTAGGTGAGCTCGGTCAGGTCATCGAAGGCGCCGGCGCGCAGCACGCGGATGTCGTTGTGGGACAGGTACAGGTAGATGAGCTGCTTGAGGCCACGGAAGGCCCCGGCGGCCACCTCGCGGATCTGGCAGTGCTGCAGGTGCAGTGACACCAGGTTCGGCATGGCACGGAACGAGTTGGCAGCCAGCACCGGGAAGTTGTTGCGCTGTAGGTTGAGCAGCTTAGTCTTCTCTGACACCTTGGGGATCTTCTGCAGCCCCACCTTGTCGCAGATGACATGCTGCAGGTCGCCGTGGCAGTGGCAGTTCTGGGGGCAGGCGGCCAGCGCCGGCAGCAGACCGGCCAGAAGGCCGAGGCTGAGCAAGAGCATCGGGCGGGCCATGGCCGGGACGCCAGGGGCCGGGGCCACGGGCAGCGGCGGCGGTGGCGGCGACGGGGCGCGGGCGGCGGCAAGTCCTCGGCGCTCGGGTCTCCCGCCCTATTTATACGGTGGCCCTGACCGCAGCCGGCAGCCAGAGCCAGCTCCTACGTGGAGCATCGAGGCCACCGGGCTTAACTCCCTCCCGCCCAGAGATGCGCCCCCGCCCTCGACGGGGAGGGGGGCGGGGCCCTTCCCCCAGCGGGCGACCCTGCAGGTTGGGACCATGGCCCCCAACCTCGTCCTCCAGCCCCGGCTCCCTTCCTCCCTGCTCTCAGATCCTGCTTCTCTCTCCGCCCCCCCACCTCCTTTCCTCGCGCTTTTCGCGGGGGGAGGCGGGGAGGGATGGGGGTGTCTAGAGCCCCGAGTTTACACCGGAGAGAGGGAGGCGTTCCCTGAACTTATTTGTTTGCTCAAGTTTGAGCGTCCACGACACCCCCAGACATACTGGGCCGGGAGCCCTGGGCCCGGGGAGGGAGGAAGCGGGCCCGGACAGCCGGACGCGAGTCTCGCCGCGGTCGGCCGGCCGGCGGCGCTTTAATGGGGCTCTTGTGCGGCACCGGCGGAGCGTAAGAGCCGCTCTGGCACCGGGCTCCCCCTGCCGGCCGGACGCGCAGCCAGCACCACGGAGACTGGCCTCTGGCCGCTCTCTCCGAGCCCTGGGCTTGAGCTTCTGTCCCCTGCAGCCCCTGTCCCCGTTCTCCACGGCTGAGGGCTAACCAGAAAGTGGGAACTGAGGGTGGGGGTGGGGGTGACCCATAGGACTCGCAAACACACCTGAAGACCACAGGCATGGAGTCAGGGCAACTGAACAAGCACAGTCGCACCACTTCCCCCCACTTAATCTCCCTAAAATATCCCCATCTCCTCACCCCCACCCCAGTGGTCAGGACTTGCCCCTGAGGGGTCTCTCAGGGTGGCGGCCAGAGTGGCGCCAAGGTGTACTTGGCAGAGGCCACACATGGGCAGTGGCCCCAGGACTATGAGGGCGGGTGAGGGGGGCACAGTCCTGGCTACAAGGGACCAGCTCTGGACAACTCAGGCTGCCAGACCCTCGGTCCTGTGGGCAGCCCTGCCCCAGCTGACCAGGTATCTGCTTGTCCACTTGCCAGCCACGGTGTCCGGATTCCTGTGGAAAGGGGAGGGTGGGCAGGCAAGGTCTCAGCTCTGGCCCAGCGTGAGCTCTGGGCTGCCTGGTAGGGGTTGTTGTCTGTGTTGGAGCGTGGGGGGAGGAAGGGACCTCAGATCTTGCCAGACCCCAGCTGTGCCTGAGCCAGGCCAGCTAACACGGAGGATGTTGGGAGTGGGGTGGGGGTAGAGGACAGACAAAGTTCTGGTGTCTTTGCTGGCGGGAAGGAACCTAGAATACAGGGTAGCTAGCCCCTCTCCTAAGCCCCTTTCACCCATTGCCTCTAGATGGGGGTCATAGTTGGCCCAGAACATTCCCTGATGGTATTTAGGCTCCTCCAAGGCTGGCTTCTGGTTTTCTGTTACTCAGGATGTTCCAACCGCTAGAAGTGTGGGGAGGTGGGGTTGCCACTGGCTTTTTAAATCCTTGCTTTGACTGTATTTTTATTTTGATGGAAATAAATTTACAGGAAAGTCCCCAGAGCTTGGGGGGTACCCACTGCAAGGCCAGGCACTTGTCCCGAGTTTTGGGTGGGTGGGGCAGGGTAGGAGTGAGTGGGTGGGTGGGTGGGTGGGTGGTTGGGTGTGTCTGTACAGCTTCCAGGTGGGCCAAGGCAGGCTGGCTTTCTCATCAAGTTTATGGGACCTTTGGCTTGGAAGGGAGGGGCAGGGGATGTTGTGGCCTGAAATCAGGAAGAGGAGGAGGGTGCTGAGGCAGCCTAGGGATGAGAGAGAGAAGGCTGGGGCATTGGTAACGCTGGGAGCCACAGGCTCAGCATGTGGCTGCTCCAGGGAAGCAGGGAGACTGAGAGCCCTGGGTAAAAGAGAATGGCTTCCCTGCTCTCAGTTTATTTCAGACCTGTGGCCCCGGCTGGTTGAGCTAGTCTGCTCACTGTCCCAACACCTCTGCCTCCTGACCTCCTGCCTCCTGATTCAGCTGCCTTCCACTTTCCCCTGACTTCTTTCCCATTCCCCCAGGGGAGCTTGCCCCATCCCTCTGCAGTCCCTGCACTCCCTCCAAACACGCTTTCCGGACCCTCTAGGTGGCTTATGGAACCACAGAGAACAGTCCCGTGACCTTCATGAACTTCGCTGAGGACACTGTGGAGCAGAAGGCAGAAAGTGTGGGCAGAGTTATGCCTCACACAGAGGTGAGCCCAGACCAAGACCCCCAGACCCCACCTCCCACCAGTCAACTGGGGTGCACCCCCCAGGACGTTTATTGCTTTCAATTAAAGATCCAAACAGCTCGCTCTAGATGCTGAGAACCCCACCGCAGCAGGGTCTTCCTTGGCCTGGGGCTTTCTCTGTGGACTGAGGCCAGAGAGGGGGAAGAGCTGGAGCAGCGGCCTTGAGCCGCCGCCAGCTGAACTTCTCCGCAGTCTGCCTTCCTGTCTGAGGTGTGTTTTTGCCAAGCCCCACTGTCTGTTTCAGGGCAGCCAGGACAGCCTCAAAGAGGAGCCAGAGCACAGAGATTTTTCCTACACAGCTCCTTCTCTCTCATAGCCCCCATCCACCTCTCACTTCAGCAAAGTTCCTCTTTTGCTTGGCGTAAACAATTTCCCAAGCAGCCTATCCCTTTGGGGGTCCCTTGCACCTTGAAGGCTGACCCAGAGCATCCCTTACTCTCAAATTCCCAGCCGTGACTCCTTTCCTGCTCCAACACGGGTGTTTTATGACAGCGCACACCTGGTTTCCCTGCGCCTTGTGCCCTGGGCCCTCCAGGGTCACTGCCACTATGCCTAAGCAGCTGCTTCCCTGGGGGCTAACTGCTATCCTGCCCTCCTCCCTGGAGGGAGTGTGCAGTGATGTTAGCCCCCTCCCCTGTGTCTGCCACTCAGTGACAAGCGTAGTTCTCCCCATTTCACAGATGCAGACACTGAGGCACACAGGCTAAGCTTTCCTTGCACGTTGGCTATGGCTCATTTGTCTGCTAGGCTTTCAGACTGCCTCTCTGCCACCTCTCTCATTCACATGGCCCTGCCATGCCACTCTCTTTGGCTTCTTTATTTGCTGCTTAGCGGAAAGTAAGAGGAGACCCCTCCTTCCTTCTGCACAGTTTATAATTCTTCAGCTGGCCTAGCCCTCCATGGGCCCTCCTCTCTGTGGCAGCTCCTGCCCACTCCATTTCCTCAGCTCCTCCTGGCCTGGGCCTAGACTGTTCTTTCATGCCCAGCTCAGGTTTCTGACTGGTGATGGATCTCCTCCAGCTTTGTCTCCCTTCCCTGGATTGAAATGGGCAGAGCCAGGGGGCATCATTACCAGGGGGAGGGAAGGCAAAGCTCTCCCCATTTCCGAGGGCCCCCCATCCTGAAGTGAGAGGACGGGAGGCCCCAGCCTGAAGCTACCCGGTCCCAGGCCCAGATCGTGAGCACAGAGACGGGGACACTGACAAAACTGAACACACCCGGAGAGCTATGGATCCGAGGGTACTGCGTCATGCTGGGCTACTGGGGTGATCCCCAGAAGACTGAGGAAGCAGTCGGACAGGACAAGTGGTATCGGACAGGGTGAGGAGGCAGGGCGGGGCGGAGGGCTTGGCTGCCAAGGGGAGGCGGGGCCTGAGGCTGAGCTGGGAACGTTAAACATTAAAACTAGAACATTAAACTTGAACAGGGAGAACATGCGTGTCAAGATGGCCCCTCACATCTTGGAGACTTAATTTCTAAAATATGTAAAATGGGGATGGTCATGCTCTCCGCATAGGGCTCCTGGAAGGATCATAGGGCTCCTGGAAGGATCAAATCCCGCAGTACAGATAAGAGCGCCCAGGACGGTGCACTAGACGCGTGTCTGCAAACTCTGAGCCAAGATTCACTCATTTGTTAGTTGAACAAATTCTTATTATGCACCTCCCAGATGCCAGCACTATTCTAGACACCGGTGGTCCAGTGGAAGGCAAGATGAGAACGGTCCTGCTCTCACTTCCCACATGTCTGGTGGAGGGAGACAGATACAAACAAGATAATTTCAGACATTGATAAACACCATGAAGAAAGTAAAATGGGTCATAGGAGAGAAAGTGGCTGTGGTGGGGAGGGGAGCTTCTCATAGACTGGGTGGTCAGAGAAGGCCTCTTTAAGGTGGAAGCATTTGAGCTGAGACCTGAATAGTAAAAAAGAAGCTAGCCATGATAAGTATATGTATAGATATGTTGAGAGAGAGAGATAATATGTTATAGGTATTGGTGTTTTTGATTTTGTCTGTCTCCTCTGCTAGACTATAAGTTCTAGGGAATGTCTTGTTCATGCTCTATCCCCCAGAGTCTAGAGCAATGCAAGACACAGAGTAGGTACTCAATAAATGTTTGATGAGTGAGCGAGCCAGGCAGCCAGATGAGGCAGAGGTGGGAGGCCATTCCTGGACTTTCCTTGCAGAGACATCGCCACGATGAACGAGCAGGGCTTCTGCAAGATCGTGGGCCGCTCCAAGGATATGATCATCCGGGGCGGTGAGAACATCTACCCTGCGGAGCTCGAGGATTTCTTTCACACACATCCGCAGGTGCAGGAAGTACAGGTGAGGCACCCAGCCCAGATGAGAGCCCAGGAGCAGGAAACACAGATGGGGATGGTGAGGTCTGACATCTGTCTCTGACTCTGGAAGGTGGTGGGAGTGAAGGACAAGCGGTTGGGAGAAGAAATCTGTGCCTGCATTCGGCTGAAGAAGGGGGAGAAGACCACGCCGGAAGAGATCAGGGCTTTCTGCAAGGGGAAGGTGGGAGCCTCAACCCACTCAAGCCGATGTTGCTCACTTCTTCAACCCCCTCTCCCTGCCAACCAGCCAGCCCACTGTTCCCTACCCCCAACCCTACGACCCACTCAGCCTCACGCTTTATCTCCCTCTGGTCTGCAGATTGCCCACTTCAAGATTCCCCGCTACATCGTGTTTGTCACAGAGTACCCCCTCACCGTCTCAGGAAAGGTGTGTAAGGTGGAGGAGACTAGGGAGCGGCAGGGCAGCCTGGGTCCCCAGGTGCAGAAGGCCAGGTGGCCCCACCTATGCCTTCCTCAGAGATGGGCAAGAGTCTGTCGAGAGGCTGGCAGTAGGGTGACCAACTAGTCACCTCATCCTGGTTTGCCCCAAACTTTCCTGGCCTTAGCTAAAGAAGCTCCTCCGTCCCAGGCAAACCAAAACAGTTGGTCACCCTAGCTGGCGGAGGCCCCAAGCCTGGCTCTCACTCCGTTCTCTTTCCTCTAGATCCAGAAATTCAAACTTCGAGAGCAGATGGAACAACATCTAAACCTGTGAACCTCCCAGGCCCTCCCTGCTCTTCCCCCACATTCCCCTTGTCCGTCCTTGTGATTTGGCATAAAGAGCTTCTGTTTTCTTTGGCTGGTCTCTTGCTGACATGCTCTTCTGGCAGCTTCTATGGGATGGAGAAAGGGAGAGACCGAAGGGAAACTAGCACTTTTAGACCTCCTGTTCCTTGTCCACGATGGCCCTAAGTGCTCTGGCTTGCATTATCTACTTACTTTAATCCTCATTCGATCCCTTTGAGATACCAACCCAATTTTTTTTAAGGCTATATTCATTTATTCATTTCTTTTTCACATTGTTGTCAGATTAGTCCCTCAAGAAGTATTATTTTTTATACATATACAACAGCTTCATTAAGATATAATCCACCCATTTAAAGTGTCTGATTCAATGGTTTTTAGTATATCCACAGATATGTGCAAGCATCACCAAAGTCAATTTTAAACATTTTCATCACCTTAAAAAGAAATTCCATACTCGTTAGCTATGATCCCACATCCCCCTATTCCCCTATCCATCCCCCCTCAGCCAACTCAATTTTGATTTTTTGTTTAAATTGATGAACCTGGGGCTTCCCTGATGGGCAGGGCCAGATCAAGCAGGCTGTAGCTTGACCCAAGAAATAAAAACACCTGGGCTCCAAAAGACACATATGTTTCCAGTCCAGAAACAGAAACTTTGCCCCTGCTTGCAGTCCTTACCTCCCGGTGTGTCTGCCTCCTCTTTACTTTTTAGAAAATGAACATAAGTTTAGGATACTCTCAGTGCCAGGCACCATGATAGGTGCTTTCGTATACATTTTCTCTTGCAATCTTCCCAACAACCCTATCAAGTAGGCATTAGCCCCATTTCACAAATGGTGAAACTGAAACTGAGACAGGTTCAGAGTCTTGCCCAAGGCTACACAGCTGGAATTAGAACCCAGGTGTCTGACTCTGAAGCCCATGATCTTTCCACTTCATGGGACAGTTCGCCAGGTGCCTGCTTTCACAGTCCCTCACCTGCACCCTGTCTCTCCCACATACACCATCTCTGACTCGCCTCCCCGCAGGGGCCCAGGTTGGCCTGACCCAGGAGATGACAGCTACTCTCCTGGCCAAGCCGGTTCCCCCTGGGTTTTCTCTTCCTTCAACATCCAGCCCAAGTGCCCTCTCCTCACCGACTGACTCCACGGCCCTGTAACAGACCGCCTCACAGCACGGAGCACACTGGCCTGGTATTCAGAGGTGCTGAATTAATATCTGTTGCCTGTTGTGTCTCGTTGGTTTGCCTCTCTCCTGTCTTATGCACGGGTACTGCGGCCTGCTCTTATGCATCTAGATGTCCCCAGCGTCCAGCTCTGAGCCAGGCACATAAAATGAAGGAACTGATGGAACAAACTAAGAGTTCCTGGATGGGTCAGGCAACTCGCCCCCGAACAGGGTGCCAAAACGCGGGCAGCTCAGCCCACAACCTTCTCCAGGCCGGCAAAGGACGGACAGGCGCCTGCGGCGAGCGCATCACCGCCCAGCAGGTGGCGCCCAGACCCGAGGCCCCGGGCCCTCCCGGCGCGTCATCGGACGCAGCGCGCGCTCACGCAGCCCCTTCTTCCGCCGGGGCGGCCCGCTGGGCCTAGCTCTGCGAACTCGGGTGCGCCCTGGGCGCATCTCGGGCTCGGATCTGGCCTCGCGCACCGGCCGTCCCCCGCCGCAGTGGGCGTCATGGCGCTCCCTGGGGCCCGGGCTCGAAGCTGGGCGGCAGCAGCCAGAATGGCCCAGAGGCGCCGCCACGCGCAGGGTGCGGGCGAATCCCCGAGTCTGGCGCCCCGGAGCCAGCGCGCGGCGCTGTATGTTCACGTGAGTGGAAGGGGGAGGTGGAGCTCGCGGGGCGTGGCCGCGGGGGTCCGGAGCCCACGTGGCGACTTGTCACGCATGAGCCCACCTGCCGACTTTCCTCGCCCCCAGAGGAGGTCTGGGATGAGACCTGGTGCCCTGGCCGGGAAATGTCTTGGTCCGGAGACCTGAGGTCTCTGGTGCTCACCAGCTCTGTGACCTTGACCAAGTGATTTCCCTTCTGAAGCTGTTTTCTCATATTGAAGTGGGCGTAATAATCCCAGTGCCACCTGCTTTGGGGAGTTGTGTGGCTTAGATGACGTAGCTAGCCACTGTTGACAGACCTCGGAATGGGGACCGGGATTTGGGCGACTGAACCCTGGAAGTGGCCAAGGCCGCCCCGGTCACCTCTCCCTGTTCATGCGCTCCCTGCCCCCAGTGGCCGTACTGCGAGAAGCGCTGCTGTTACTGCAACTTCAACAAGTACATCCCCCGCGGCGTGGAGGAGGCCGCTATGCGGAGCTGTTTGGTGACCGAGGCTCAGACGTTGCTGCGGCTCAGCGGGGTGCGGCGGTGGGTACTGGGGGCTGTAGGCGGGTGTTGGGAGTTATTTGGGGGAGTGGATAGGACAGATGCAGGCATCCCAGAGAGTGCCTGCAGGTCTCATCTTCTCTATCCTCTTTTCCCAGGGTGGAGTCTGTGTTCTTTGGTGGGGGCACCCCCAGTCTGGCCAGTCCCCGCACTGTGGCTGCTGTCCTGGAGGCAGTGGCCCAGGCAACCTGCCTGCCTGCAGACTCCGAAGTCACATTGGAGGTCAACCCCACTTCGGCCCCAGGCTCCAGGCTGGCAGCATTCGGGGCAGCAGGAGTCAACAGGTTGTCCATTGGCCTCCAGGTAACCCATCTTACCCAGCCCATCCCAGGGCACCCAGGCATTCAGTGCTGTCTCTCCTCTGGTCACATTCGTTTATTAGGCAAACGTTTATTGACCTCCTTCTGGGTGCCAAGGCCCAGTAGGTACTGAAAAGTGTATGGTGACACTTGTGTAACTTCCTAACTGTCTGCTTCTGTGCTGGACCAAAGCTCTCTGAGGCGGGGATCATACATGCCTTTTTGTACATCACAGCATTCCAAGCACCCACCACAGTGCCTGGCACATAGGAGATGCTCAAAAGAGATTTGTTACATGGTTGGAAACACAGGAGGAAGCAAACAGGTGGTCAGACCGTTGCAGCATGGAAAAAAAGATCTCTATAAAAGGCTTTCATAGTACAGCCTGAAGGGCATCTCAGACTGATTAAATCATGGAAACCTCACTGGAGGAGGTGATATTTGAATGAGGATGAGGAGTTCACCAGGGGAGAGGGTGTGGGAGGAAAAGACACAGGATATGGAAGAGCCTTGCATGTTTAGGGGAGCTGTGAGTCATTCCTTGTGACTGGAGAGGCTGGAGACAAGGCTGCAAGGTAGGGCCCAGAGCCATCAGCACCATACTACGGAGTTTGGGTTTTTGCCTAATGGTAACAGAGGAGCCGTTGAAAGTTTTTAAGCAGGGGAAACATAATCCTCTCAGGGTGACCCCTGGTATTTCCATATCCAGTATTGCTTCCACTTCTAATATGTGTACCACTTACCATGGAGTGGGGTCAGGGCTCTGTCCCAATGGGATATACTGAAAAGGACACATCACTTCTGAGATATTCTAGCACTAAATGCATACATATCTTGAGTCTAATTGTGAGGAAACATCGAGAAAACCTAAATGAAAAGACTGTGTGTGCACTAAGAACAGATAACATGAGATCAACTTTACCCTCTTACTTTTTTTTTTCTTTTTGTGAGGAAGATTAGCCCTGAGCTAACATCTGTCGCCAATTCTCCTCTTTTTGCTGAGGAAGATCGGCCCTGGCCTAACATCCAAGCCCATCTTCCTCCACTTTATATGGGATGCCGCCACAGCATGGCTTGACAAGCGGTGCGTCGGTGCGCACCCGGGATCCAAACTCTGGGCCACTGCAGCAAAGTGCGAGCACTTAACCGCTATGCCACCGGGCCGGCTCCCTCTTAACAAATTTTTGCTTTTCCAGTACAGTATTGTTAACTATAAGCACAATGATGTACAGCGTATCTCGAGAACTTATTCATTAAGAGACATTTTTGAAAACAACTGGCCTGTACTCTTCAAAAATGTCGTTGTCATGAAAGACAAAGAAAGGCTGAAGATCTAGACTAAAGGAGACTAAAGAGACAATGACAGCTGAATGCAATCTGTGACCCCTGGTTGGATCCTGGCTTGGGGAGGGAGAGGAATTTACTGCAGTAGACATTGGGACGATTGGCCAAATTTGAATATGACTATGTATTAGATAATGGCGTTGTCTCAATGTTACATTTCCTGTACCCTGTAATTGGATTGTAGTTATGTAAGAGAGTGTCCTTATTCTTAGGATATAGGCACTTAAGTATGTATAGGGGTACGATATTTTAGTTAATTACATTTAAATAACCACATTGCAAGTGCTCACTAGCATGTGGCCAGTGGCTACCATATTCTACTAAAATGTTCTGTGTCTGCTTTGACCAGTACAGTAGTCACTGACCACAGGCCTGTAAGCCCTTGGGATGTGATGATTTAAATTTAATTAACTTTAAATAGCTATATGTGTTAGTGCCTACAGCATTGGACAGTGCAGATATAGAACATTTCCATCATCGCAGAAAGTTCTTTTGGACAGTGCTGGTCTATAACTTACTCTCGGATGATTCAACAAAATAATTATATGTGTATACATTCAGAGAGAGACAAAGCAAATGTGGCAAAATGTTAGTTGGTAAATCTAGAGGAAAGTGTTTATTGAGCTTTTCTTTCAGTTTTTCTATAAGTTTGAAATGTTTCAAAATTAAAATTAAAGAAGACCGTTGGCTTTGGAGTCAGACAGTCCTAAATTCCAGGTCTGACTTTGCCATGGTATGACCCTGGGCAAGTTTCTTAGCATCTCTGAACCTTAGTATTCTCACGTGTAAAATGGAGCTAATGTTGGAGGGTTTTTAAGGATAAATTAGACACTGCATGAAAATGCTTGGCACGTAGTGACCCTTCAGTGAATGGTACGCTTGGTACTGGCTTGACCATCTGCCTTCCAGCTGCCTGCCATGTCCTGCATTTTCCCCTATATCTGTGTCTACAGTAAGGTCAGTGAAGCATTCCTGTCTCCCTCTAAGCCGGCCCGCATACTTACTCCTGACCCTCTCTCCCCAGTCACTGGATGACACTGAGCTCCGGCTGCTGGGGCGGACACACTCGGCTAGCAATGCTCTGCGCACCCTGGCGGAGGCCCGGCACCTCTTCCCCGGGCGTGTATCTGTGGACCTGATGCTGGGGCTGCCGGCGCAGCAGGTGGGGCCGTGGCTTGGGCAGCTGCGGGAACTGCTTCGCCACTGTGACGACCACATCTCCCTCTACCAGCTGTCCCTGGAGCGCGGCACCACACTCTTCACCCAGGTGCAGCAGAACGCCCTTCCTGCCCCTGACCCCGAGATTGCTGCTGAGATGTACCAGGAGGGACGGGCAGTCCTTCGGGAGGCTGGCTTCCGCCAGTATGAGGTCTCCAACTTCGCCCGGAATGTGAGTCCTGGGGCTGATGGCTGCAGGTGGGGAATGGGCAAGCTGAGGTGTGACCAGGGAACTGTGGCCCTTCGGGGAGAAGGGTGCTCTTGAGGCCTGAAATGATGGGACCTTCTGACCAGGTGCCCCTTACCTGAGCAGACACGGGGCCACCCTCTTCATTCTGCACTGACTATTCCCTCCCTCCCCACAGGGGGCGCTCAGTACCCACAATTGGACTTACTGGCAGTGTGGGCAGTACCTTGGCGTTGGGCCTGGTGAGTCCCCTGTGAACCATGAAAGGGATGACTCAGGAGAAGAATGTTATGGCTTTGTGATCTTGGGCCACTTATTAACCTCTCCAAGCCTCTGCTTCCTCATATGTAAAGTGTGGCAGAAAACACTTACTTCATAGAGCCGTTCTGTATATATTTTGAGGTGCTTGATGTAGTGCCTGGCACTGTAGTTCTCAATCTTCAATATGTATCCGAATTACCCAGAGGGCTTGTTAAAACCCACATCGTGGGGCCCCACATCCAGCATTTCTGACTGGACGGGGCTGGGGTAGGGCCCGAGAATTTGCATTTCTAGCATATTAGATGCTGTTGGTCCAGGGACCACACTTTGAGAACTACTGATTTAACATCTGGCAAGCACACAGTGTTAGTTGCTATTAAAGAGGGGGTGGTTGTTGATGTTGTCAGGGGCCCATGGGCGATTTATGCCCCAGGGGGCTGGAGGCTACATCCGGGAGGCTCGGATCCAGACCCTGGAGCCTGACAACTGGATGAAGGAAGTGATGCTCTGCGGTCACGGCACCCGGAAGCGTGTCCCCCTGGGCGAGCTGGAGCTGTGAGCATCAGAGGTCACCATGGGTTCCCCTGCGCCCCCAGAACCACCTCAATGTGAACATCTTTGTTTCCTGCCTTGTCCTGCCCCCACCCCGCCCCATACTGCATGATCTTCATAAGGCCCCCGTACACACATTCCAGCATAGGGTTTGAGGAAGGGGAGAGGCACAGGTCTCTCCAGGATCCTTTGGTGGTTTTTCTTTCAGGCTGGAGGAAGTTTTGGCCATGGGGCTACGCACAGACGTGGGGATCACTCACCAAGTAAGGGGTCGAGGGGCTCTGCCATATCACTTCCTTCTAAGTCTTGCAGAATCACTCTCTCTGTCTCTCACTCTTTCTTCTGCACACACACACACACACACACACACCCCGCTCCCCTGCACACCACTTCCTCCTAATCACTCTGTCTCTTACTCTTTCTTCTACACACACACACACACCCCACCCCCCGCTCCCCTGCACACCACTTCCTCCTAATCACTCTGTCTCTCACTCTCTCTTCTACACACACACACACACACACACACACACACACACACACAGACACACAGACACCCCGCTCCCCTAGGGCTGGCAGCTGGATGGTTGGGCTTTAGTCCAGCCAAGGCCTGATGGGCAGAAGCAGTGGGCAGGGTGGTGCAATGGTGAGAACCCTACACCAGGGCTGCGGAGACCCAGGCTCTGGTCCCCATTCTACTGCAACCTTGGGCACACATCCTTTCACCTCTCTGAACCTTAATTTTCTCAGCTTTGTCGGGGAATAGACTAGATTAGGATTTTCAAATGTTTTTAAGCAGCACTGAAATCTCGGATAGGAAGTGCAGCAGATAATTATCGATCAAACTCAGAGCTGCTCTGGATGAAGTCAGGCCGTAAAGGCCTGGCTGGGGCTGGCCATACCCTGACCAGCAGAGAGACGGGGGAGGAGCAGAGGAAGACCTGGCTTGGCTGGGAGCTGAGTTTCGGCCTGAACGTGGAGTAGGAGTGGAGATGCCCCTCTCCCTGCTGGCCCGTTGGCCTGGTCCTGATGTGCATGAGTCAGTTGTTGAGGTCCCTGTGCTGGACTGGACCCTCCCTCACCCCACCCCAAGACAGGTGGCCCAGAGTAGCCTCACCAGCTGCCCGCCTTGTGGTCCCTGTCCCTCTGACCCTTCTGGTTTCCCCAGCACTGGCAGCAGTTTGAGCCGCAGCTGACCTTGTGGGACGTGTTTGGAGCGAGCACGGAGGTGAAGGTGCTGCGGGAACAGGGCTTCTTGCTGCTGGATCACAGGTGTGTTGGGGCGGAGGGGGGTGTTAGGAGTCCTGGGGAGCCCTGACCACAGATCCACAGACCTGGGAGAAGTGAGAAAGACTGACGAGGCGGGGCGTGGGTGCCAGGGCCTTGGCACTGGTAGAGGGTGAGGGTTTACATTGGTAAGGTGACACAGTCACATCCAGGCCTCTCTGTTTTCCAGGGGTCTTCGGTGTTCCTGGGAGGGTCTGGCTGTGCTGGACTCTCTGTTGCTGATCCTTCTTCCTCAACTCCAAGAGGCCTGGCAGCAGAGAACTCCCTCCCCTGTGCCAGGAGGATGACCAGATGTTCCTGTATCCCAGGACAATGCCGGGTGGGCTTTGGGGGTTGGGCTCACACTGCAGACATCTCCACTGCCAGATGCAGTCTCAGCTCTGGTCATTGCCCAGCCCTGGCATCCCCAAGGGAATGGCTACAATGAGGTAGATGGGAGGACATTTCTGGTCTGGGAACTGGCATCAAGTCCACTCACCACTGCCAGAGAGGGAGTAATAGTTTCTGCAAGTGCCTCTCATTAGTGGACTCTAAAGCAGGCCGGCCCTGTGGCTTGGTGGTTAAGTGCGCGCGCTGCAATGCTGGTGGCCCGGGTTCGGATCCTGGGTGCGCATCGAGGCACCACTTCTCCGTCCATCCTGAGGCCGAGTCCCACATACAGCAACTAGAAGGATGTGCAGCTATGACATACAACTATCTACTGGGGCTTTGGGGGGAAAAAATAAAATAAATAAAATCTTTAAAGCAAATCCCGGCTGGCAAGAGATTCTGAGAAATATAGCTCTTAGGCTTACAGGCCCTACAATACAGGACAGGACACAGACAGGACTTGGTATGCTCATGGACCCATGTGTATATCCAGCACAGCGGCGTAGTGGACTCTGAGAACAGTGGAAAGATCAGAACAAGCCTTGCCTCTTCTCTTTTGGCAACCAGGATACGTTTGGGGTGTCAGGAGCCCCACAGACCCTCCTGAGTCCCCTCCCCCAACTGCTCCCCACTGCAGCCCTTCCCTTGAGAGAGTGAAGGAAGGGGAAGGAGTTCAGGAAAGACCCAGAGCCCAGATTTCCCCCAGCCTTTTACCTGCAGAAATGGTCACCTGGCTTTATTTAGTCTGTGAAGCCCATCTGGAGCCTGTCTTGACTGTGGTCCTCCCCTTTGTCCGGGCTCCTCCCAAGAGTGTGAAATCCTGATTTGGGGTCTAGGGGCTTTGTCTCTGGCTGAGATTCCTTCCTGTTCCCGGACAACCATTTGCCCAACGATTTGAGCATCCATCGATGATCCTTGCCAAAATCAATGATTAGATTGAGGGTTGCAAAATGTTGATTTCTGACCCCAGCATTCCATCTACATTCATTAACTGGCATTTATCCGTAAAAAAAGAGCTTTCCCTGTTTTTGAAGGGAAATTATATGCAGGGTGTGTGTGTATATGAGAGAGAGAAAGGTGTTTTCCTGGGAAGAGGCTCCATAACTTATCATGTCAAAGGGTATTGTGATCCCAAAAGTAATTTAGTACCACTGCAAATCAGGGCCTGCTAAGCTCAGCCTCCAGCTGGGTGACTAAAGATGGGGTTCCCCCCACCCCAGAGGTGAGCACGTGCATTCCCCTCATGCCTGGTGGGTGTGAATATCAGTCCTTCTTTGAGCCCGTGGTAACATGGTAAGCGTTACTACCTCTCCTTTATTCATGAAATATTCAGCAAGCACCAGTGGTCTGCCAGGCACTGCACCAGGCATGCAGAGAGGAATAAGACCGGCTCCAGCCCTCGAGGAACTCACCACCATGTTGATAGATGTGCAAAGAGATAAATTCCAGGGTTATCTGGAAAGGTGTGCCAGCGGGCTGTGGAAGCCTGCAGTGCATTTGGTTCTGAGGGGCTGGGAGCGGGAAAGGGGGAAGATATTTTTCTTACTATGTCCTCTGGCCCTGGGGCAGCTTGTAGGGTGACCTGGGATGCCTGGGGGGGGGGGGCTCTTCCCAAGCCTTCCCCTGATCTTGATATTCAAGAAGTGAGCACGGGGCTGGAGCAGGTGCGCCATCAGATAAGCTGCGCCTACTCAGGTTTCTCCCAGCTGCCAGGGCTCGTGCCACCTGAGATGCCCAGGCCCTCCCAGCTGGGGCACCTCACGAGGCCTGTGCAGAGGGGCTGGATGGGAGCCAGGGCCAGGTCAAGGTGGCACTGATCACCTTCTGTGACTCAGTCTGGTCCCACCCTCACCAGGTGAATCACCTCCAGGAGGTAGAGCCAGGGAGTCTAGTTTTTAAATGCTTCTTAAACGGCTCTAATGATCAGGCCAGTTTGGGAAGCCCTGTCATCTGCCTTCATCCTGAGAGGCTGGGGTCAGGAGGAACGAGGGAGACGTGGCTACTTTCAGACATAACAAAGTGGAGTGGGGTCCTTCCCTCTGCATCCCAGGCCTTCCATGGCTCATCCATCAAAGGGGCTCTCCTCTTCCATATTGAGGCTTTGGGTGTCATCTTTCTACCTGCTCTACTGAAAAGCACACGAACACAAGTACAAGGGGTGAACAAGCTACTTTGGTGATGAGAGGAGGTGGGGAAATGTGATATGTGTGAGTGTGGTTACAGCTTGAAGGACCAAACCCTTCGTGTGCCAGAGCACTAACAGTTTTAAAGCCCTACCACTGAGCCCCGCCACCCCCAACCCCCACCAAGTAGTGTGAAGTGGGTAGGGCAGCTATTTTAATTTCCATTTTACTTGTAGGGACTGTTCAAAGGGGCCCTCTACCTTGATTCAAGTCCTATAAGTAGTAAGTAGCAGACCTGGCAGAACACTTCTAGACATCCAGAACTTTCTGTTACATCATCGTTTTATACTTACCGTGGGTCCAGGTCAATTGACCTGTCTCTTAAATTAGGCAAAATCCTGACCTCTTTCTGGCCTCTCTGCCTCAGGCTTGAAGCCGCGTTTCTGCCTGGTACTGGGTAGCTTGGACTTGGTGTCTGTATTTTCCTTCCTGAAGAGGCTCTAACAGAGAGAACCCACATGTCCCATCTCCATGAGACCGTCCACTTCTTGGGACAGACCTGCATTCTGCAAAGAAAAGGACGTTAAATAATAGGATTGCTATAGACTGAATGTTTGTGTCCCCCCGGAATTCACACGTGGAAATCTCATCCCAAAGGTGATGGTGTTTGGAGGTGGAGCTTTGGAGCGTGGTTAGGTGGTGAGGGCGGAGCCCTCATGAATGGGATTAGTGCCCTTATAGAAGAGACCCCAGAGAGCTCCCTCCCCTCTTCTACCATATGAGGACATAGAGAGCAGACAGACATCCGTGAACCAGGAAGCGGGCCCTCACCAGACACCAAATCTGCGGGCACCTTGATCTTGGACTTCCAGCCTCCAGAACTGTGAGAAATAAATGTTTGTTGTTTAAGCCACCCAGTCTATGGCATTTTTGTTATAGCAGCCCGAATGGACTAAGACAAGGATGAAGTAACTTGTGTGGTAGATTGTATTATTCTTCAAAATGTTACCACCCCTCCTTGAGTGCCCTTCCCTGAGGGCCTGTGGGGGATTATGTATCCCTGCCCTGTTGAATCTGGGAAGGGCCAGGAGACTTGCCCAGTAGGGACTGTAAAAGCCAGCGGGTGGTCCACCATCTCCTCCCTCTGCCACAGAGACCTGCAGTGTTCCAGTGGAGACCGTTTCATCAGCCTGGGTCCTGGAGTGAAGAAGTGTTGGGCAGAGGAGCAGGCCATCACAACAGACATGAGCAGGAGTGAGAAATTAACATTCATTGCTGTAAGTCAGTAGATTTTCCGGTTGCTTGTTACTGCAGCATAATTGAGACTAAACTGACTGATAACAATTTGTAATCCCCCCATTCAGAGATTAACCACTGTTAAGATTCTGGTGTGTATCTTAGGAGAAATTCTTATTGCATATTTAGATATACGATCTTACAAAATGGGATAATATGCATCTTGCTTTGGAGCCCTCTTGTTCTACCTAATATGTAATGGGCATCTTTTCCTGTCAAATTGATATCTACATCCTACTTTTTTAGTGGCCCTTCATTTGTAAGGTACCACTGCATGGTTGTGCCAAAATTTAGTTTACCATTTCCTGTTTGGTGAAACTGAGGGTGTAATTTTTGATTTTTATAAACTCTGTGGTGAATGTTTTATGTAAATATTTGTATGCACTGGCTTGATCATTTCCTTAGGTTTGGGATAAATCCCAAGAAATGGGGTTGCTGACCAAGGATACACACAGCCTTTCTTTGGATATGCAATGCCAAACTGCCCTGCAGGATGCCTGTGCTGTTCACACTCTAGCCAGCTCGCTGGTGCTCATTTCTCTACGATCTCGTCAGTAGCAAGCATGACTGATTTTTCCAAATGATTCCAGTCTGAAGAGGGCTCTTAACCCTGGCTTTATTATCAGCTAACATTCTGCTACCCTAAATTTGGCAGCTGTGTTGGTCCATCTGATCACTCTCAAGTCAGATAGCAAAGGGGATGCACCTCTGGGGCCAGCCCAGGAGAGGACCTGTGTGTTCCAGATCGCCTCTGAATTCCTCTTGTCCAGATCCCCTTTGGGGAAAATCCCAGACCTCTCTTCTATCTCCCTCCCCCTGCTCTCCTTTTCCCTGAGGGCACTTTTAAAGCCCATTTTTTTAATGACACAAACAACTTTATAGAAACATTAGAATTCTAAATGAAGAAGAAAAAAAAGTCACCCGCCATCAGCGGCCCCAACAAATTAAACTGTTTTTATTTGCCTGGGTTCCCTTCCAGCCCTCATCCAAATGCAGACAAGACTTTTGCCCAGCTGCGCTCCTGGCACAAATCTCATTTTGCATTCTCCCCCTTTTCCTTGTTCTGTCATCAGCAATTTTCCACGTTGTTCCATGGTCATCATCTTTCTCATTATTATTGTTGCACAATGTTCCAATGAGTGAATAATTTAATAATTATTACCCTAATGTAAATCACTTAAGTGGTTCCCCGTTCTCCCCTATTATAAATAACCCTGCAGTGCATGTTTTTATGGATATAGCTTCTTTGTTCATTTGAATGATTTCCTCAGGTCAGTTCTCAGGAGGGTCAAAGGGTATGAAGGCTTTCATGATTCTTTGTGTGAATTGTTATATTGTTTTCCAAAGGGTTTTTATTTTCCTGCTCAAAAAATAATAAGGCTCCTTTTCAACCATGTAGAAGAAAGCAAAAATTCTACAACCCAGAAATTACAATTACTAATGTTTGGACAACCATCCCTCCAGACATCTCTTGATGTATAGATACACATATAGATGTAGAAATAAAAATAACTTTTCACAAAAAGGATCATACTCGTGTGCCAATTTTGCAACCTGTTCTTTTACTCAACAACGTGTCCTGGGTTTTTCTAATTGGTTCTGCCACCCCCAGGGCCCACGTGGTAGCATAACGTAAGACAGTAATAGCTGTAAGTCAGGCCTGGTGCCGAGAATGTTGTCTGCTTCAGCTCATTTAAGATCCACAACAACCCAATGAGGTAAGTTCTATTATTATTATGCCCATTTTGCAGAAGAGGAAACAGGCTCAGAGAAAATAAGCTGTGTCCTTGGTCACACAGCTAGGAAGTGGTGGGACTGGCACTCAAATTGAGTTGTCTGGGGCTCCAAAATAGATGCTTATACGGATAATACATGAATATATTCTTACTGTAAAAATGTAATAATAATAAATGCAAGCAATACCATGGCATAGAAAGTAAAGTATGAACGTCCTCTTTACTCTTCTATAGAAGCTTGATGTGTGCTATCAGTTTAGGTTCAACTGTGTGTGACAGAAAATGAAAGTAACATAAGCTTAAACAAATAAATTTATTTTTATTCCACATAAAAGAAGTTTGGACAGAGCATTTCAGTGCTAGCATGGTCATTGGTCATGAAGAACTCAGGCTTCTAACTTGATGCTCTGAATCCTCAGCATGTAACTTCCATCCCTAAGATCTCCACATGGTCTAATATTCCCCTGGAGCTCCAGCCATCACATATGCATTCAAGACAATAAGAAGAAAGGCTGGAGGGGCAACTGTGTTTTTCAGTCCCCTCTAAAGAGCTTCCCTGAAAGTCCCTCTACCCCATGACATCAGCTGACTTCTAACTGTCCACCGTTATCCACAAGGGAGACTAGGGAGTGTAATTTTTAAACTGTTTATCTTGCTGCTTCCCCCTACCCCCCATAATAGAAGGGCTTGGTTAATTTTAAAAAAGGGAGAATAGATATTAAGAGGCCATCATACAGCTCTGCCACCATGGGTATCCTTCCCAATCCTTTTCTATAAACTTACATATATATGTACATATATAAAAATATAATTTAGGAAAGTCTATTGTGTAAAGAGTACCTTGTTTTAATTTACATTTAAAGTTTACCAACCAAATTAAACATTCTCCATTAAATACGTGTTTACTAACTATTGTGTTGTGTGCACAGGTAAGCTCTTATTCAGCCAGTTAGAGCCTTGATGATTTCCTGATGGAGTTGAAGAACTGTCTAGATAGGTAGTAGATAGATAGTAGATGGATGGATGGATGGATGTTACAAGTATATTGACTCTTTTGTCTTATTTTCTGCAAGTATTGTTTCCAATATGCCATTTTTATCTTTCGTGGATTTTTACTTTTTTGGAAATGAGTTTTCCAGAAATTTTAAATGTTTATGTATCGAGTCCATCTTCTGCCTTGTGACTTTTTCTGTCAGTTCCAGTCTCCAGAGATATGGTCACCTTTCAAGTTGGCTTCCCTCCTCCCAGGAGACAGTCTAAATATTGGCTGCTATGCCCACCTGGGTCCAAATCTACACTCGGCTGCTTCCTACCTGTAGGACCGTAGACAGGACTCTTCCCTCATGTGGGATCTAGTTTTCTTGGCTGTTTAGTGAAGGGGGTGCACCAGCCCCAGGTTCTCGAACCTGGCTCTGCATCAGAAACACCGGAGGCTCCATAAAATGCACGTTCCTGGGCCCCCTTCAGCTCTATAGAATCCAAATCTGTGTATCCAGGAATCTGTGTTTGTTTATACAGTGAGCCTGATGCTCAGACATGTTTTGGAACCTCTGGACCAGCCAGTGTCTGAGATTGCTTCCTGTGCTGGGCTGTCTGAGCAGTGAGTGATAGGAGGGCGGCAGCCCTTGGCCACTTGGCCAGGTTGTATCCACTGAAGCCAACCAGCCCTGCCTCATCCTAATGGGGGGTCACAGCCCCCATTTCACATCCCGACCAAGCAGCACCCCCTTCCTGCTTCCTTGGGGGTGGGGGTGGGGTGAGGTGGTGGTCAGGCTCCTGGGGTGTGGCCTGGGGGCTGCCACAGCAGTGCCCCTGGGGGAGGGGGCCAGTGTCACTTACTAGCTGGGTAACCTTAGCTAAGCCACTCACTCTGTGAGTCTCCATTTCCTCATCTCTGAAAGCAGGGACCGTGCCTTCCTCAAGGTTATTCTAAGGTTGGCAATGATGGATAGATGGATGGAAAGAGCCTAGTGCAGTTCCTGGCACAAAATGCGCATTTGACAAATGTGGTAGTGATCACTAGCACATGTGATTTACAGTGCCCTGGGCATGCCAGCACTAAGGAAGGCAGGTCCCGAACAGGAATTCCTGGTGCCTGACAAGACAGAGAGACCTGTCATTTCTCTGTGATGCTGAAACTTGGTAGGTAGCCCTGGGCTTCTGGAAAATTTTCCCCCTGGCCCAGTGTAGAACTTGCTACCTCCCAGGTCGCTGAGAGGGTGTGTGTCACAGGGCAGACTGACAGCCTCCAGGCAGCGGCGCCCGTGGTGGAAGGAAGGGCCCCTCACTGGTGACTCCTCATACCAGTGCTCCTTGCTCTCCCGCAGCAGGTCAGACAGGAATGGCCCCATTCCTCGGGTGGCTGACCTGTGCAGGCAGGGCCCAACCCCATCTGCCTCCCAGACCCCTGACAGCTGGGAGACACTCCCAGCATGTGCTTTGCCCCACCTCTGGATTAGGTCTCCTGCGGTGCCTGGTGCTCCTCATCCTTCCCTGGACCTTGGGCCTCCTTACCTCCATTCCTGCTGTCCCTGATTCAGCCTGAGGCTTCCCCTGCCCTTGAACTTGACCAATTTACACAGGCCTCACTTGCTTTGCTGACCTTTCTTACTGGATTAAGACCGTAGAAAGAAGCCAGAACCCTTTTCTAGGCCTTGGCGGCACTGGTGGGGGACAAGGTGGGCAGGACCTCAACTAAGG